ACCTTTTTGTTGTTTAAGATGATGCAGAAGAACTACCGAAATTTTCATTTGGGACGATTTGCCCCCAGCTTCCCCTGCCGCCACGGCCGGCGTCAGTTAGAGGGTGGCAGGCAGTGTTGGAGCCGGGCCCTTCTGCTTCCACACTGACTCACCGCCTGTGACCTTGATCGGTGTCGCTGTAAGTTGTCGGTGTTGGAGGGCAGGGACGCCGTGCCGGCTTTCTGAAAGGGCTTCTCTCCAGTTGCTGCCCCACCGGCCAGGACCTGTGTGTGGGTCCAGGGCGAGGTTTTCTTGCTCATTTCTGCTCCCAACAGCTGCATGGGTCACCTGTGCCCATGGACTCAGCGACCATTTCCTGCCAGAGAACCAGTTGGAGGGTCAGAAGTGACCCAGCTGCCTGCTCTTTCCCTAGTGAAGCATTTACCAGAGAAGGAACGTCTAGAGAAGCCAGCAGCCTGTGCTCTGTGGAGCCGCGCCTGCGCCTGCGCCTGCACCTGCAGCTCCTATGCACCATGGTTGGCCCTCGCGTGTGTGCAGGGCCACGGGGCACCAGGAAGAGAAGAGGTGCCTGTCCTGTGACAGCATGGCGAGGCAGGGTGTGTGGTTCAGAGCATGTGACGCCTTTGCAGCCGGCTCAGTGGCTTTCCGGCTGAGTGGTGGTGGGCAGGTCACGCCATCTACCTGTCTGCCCCATGGACATAAAGTGGGCATCATGAGAACCGCCTCCCAGAGTTGGATTGAAGATTAAATACGGGTGCGTGTAACGTCCCGGCACGTGCTTGTTCTGTGCGTCAGCTGCTCACTGCCCCTCAGCTGACTGACTTGGTGAACTTCGTGACTGAAGGGACAGAGCCGAACCTGTAATTGTAGGAACCGGAAGTGAGCGTCTGCTCCTGGGACCAGAGCTCTATGAGATTGGCAGTTCACGGGAAAGTCCTGGGAACGTGTGTATGTCGCTGACTGTTGATCGACCAGCATTTTTCTCGTGAAGTCTGATCGCTGGGGTTGTCTGGGCTGGACCCCTAACGTGGCACCAGCACAGGGATCGGGGAGTAAGAGCTTCTGTTGGGGGAGGTTTTCACCGAGTTCTTTTTGTAGTATCGGGGTTTCCTCTGTGGAGAGCTTGGCCTGCAGCACAAGGTGCTGAAAGGCGGGAGAAAGTTCCTCTGTTCTGACATGTCCTGGTGGATACGTACGGTCTGGCAGGTGGCAGAGTGGTGCCCAGTGGTCTGGGGCCATTGGTCCAGGCGACGGCTCGTCATCCCCACCTTTTAAAACTCACCTGGAAGTGACTTGGCTGCTGCGATGGCTGTGGCCCCTGCGATGAATAAGGAGCCTCTTGGCCCAGGACATGACGGTCACCCCAAGCTTTCAAGAGAACGTTTACAGCGAGGTGTACTGGTTATGTGGGTGTCAACATCAGTTTCAGGATCATTTCCGTCCAAAGGGACAGAAACCCTGAAATAACAGGGTGTAAACAAGATAATGTCTCATTCTTCATTCCTCTCTCAGTTCTATGATCATTTGAGTCTGGGGCTCCTTCATCTTGCTGCTTCACTACCCTCCGTTAGTGTGACACTGATGCTGCAAAGTGGCTGCTTGAGCTCCGGCCATCAAGTCTTCATTCCAGCCAACAGGAAGGAGAATCAAGAGGATACCCTTAATCTTTAAGCAAATTCCGGAAGCTGCCACTTCACACGCCTGCTTCTCTAATTCGCCAGAACTTAGCACGGGCACAGCAAGCTGCAAGGGAGCTTGGGAAATGCAGTCACATGTCCCGCTACCATTCAGGCACTGAGATAGGGTGCACAGCCAGCTGGGTCTGCCCACGTTGTTACATACTTTAGGATGGAATCAAGGCTGATGCTGAGAATGAGGAGGGCAAACTGCATTTTTAAAATTCTGAAGAAGAAAAGAGGGCTGCTGGGGTTCATGTTTGAGTGAGCCCGCGGGTGCCAAACCCTGCCAGGCTGAGTCCCGATTGGTCCCTGTGCTGCAGGAGCTGCAGGTGACTGGATTGACCTGTGGCTGCTTTTTGGCCATTCATTCCTCTGTGTGTGTGTGTGTGTGTGTGTGTGTGTGTGTGGTATGGCCATTGTATTGTAGCTAGGAGAACCCACTCAGCAATGCATGGTTTCTGGGGCCATTCGGGACCCCAAGACTGGATGCCAGGATATTCCCAGGAGGCAATGTGTGGCACCTCCCATCGCTGCTCAGTCAGCTGGTTTGGCTGGGAATCGACTTCGCAGGTTGGAGCTTTGTTCCGTCTCGGGCACCCAGGGCCAACGACTGGCGCTTGTGCCTCTAAGTTCGAGCTTTGGAACGGCGTGGGGAGCAGCCCCTGCCCGCAGGTGCGTGCTGTCGGGTCTGGGGGCCATGCTGGACGCCACGTAAGTTAGTGGCCTGTTTCTTAACGACAGTGATGGGGAAAGAGAAATTGTCAGGAGTCATTGTGCAGAGGCAGAGGTGGGAGGGAGGGGAGCCTTCCTGCCTGAAACACCTGGCCTTCCACACCGTTAGCTGCTGGGCTAATGGTGCGTCTACCCACCATTCTGAACCGGCGCCCACCGCCCGTCCCGTGGGGGAGGAGTCCGCGCCTCGCCTGGAGCCGCTGTGTTAAAGCCTGGGCTGTGCTCTGCTCCCCTCTGACTCGGAAGCAGCTCACTCAGCAGGATGGGCCACTCGGTGGGATTCTGAAACGTCGGGCAGCAGCGGTAGGGGTGCCCTTCCTAGGGACACACGGCCTGAGCCCTCCGGGGCTGAGCCACGCTCTCCCACCTGTCCAGCTGGGCTCGGGGGGCTGGAGTGGAGGGCGGGCAAGCGGCCGCCGGAGTGCACCTGCGTTCGTGTTTTGCTTTCTTCAGCCGCCTTGGGATGGGCAGAGGGTCTTAGCGACCCCGGAACACACTCTAGAACACCCGGTGGACGGTGTCGGCAGTCGGAGCCACCTCCTATGTGAGCCTCATTTTGGAGAAACACTGTGCAGGTGGGAACCTGTGCGGACTCCACAGCTGTCCTGCTGGACGCTGCAGCTGGAGGGCCTTGGACAAGCCGCTGACCGCTCAGCGCATTTGGGAACGGGCACCGGCGGCTCATTCTCTGAATTGCAAAGGATTCTTTGGGCCCATAGCTGCCGGCTTCTCACAGCTGGATTCTTTTGAACATAACCCCAATTTAGCTTTCAAATACCTTGCACAGGTGTGCGCGTGCTGTTTTTTTTCTTTTAGCTTTTGGTACACAGATCACTTGCCTGCCTTCAGTCACATGAAGCTGTGTGAAATTTCGCACGTGGACTTCGATGAAGGACAGAGCAGCACCCTATTTCTAATTCCCTCCCTTCTCCTTCCCCCATCCCTGTTCTCTGGGTGTGGAACCAGTGGATGGGGAATATCGGGCTTCGGTTCTGGAACAGTGGGAAGAAGGCGTGTTTGGAGTTAGACCTGTGGTTCGAGATTCAGCTGTGGGTCCTTAAGCAAATCATTGAACTCAATTGACTCTCAGTTGGTTTCCTCACTAGGAGAAAATTATCTAATAATATCTTGTTGTGGTGGAATTAAATGAGATCGTACCTTCCAAGTGCCATACAAACGAAGAAACTGCAAATCACCTTCAGGGATTCTTTCATATGATTGTTCTTTTCCTAAAGATGACCTCACACCGACCTGGTCTTAACTTTGTATTCAGATCGCAGCCCACAGTGCTAGCTGGCTTATCACCCCTTCCCCCCAACTCCCCCCTTTAGGTAGGATGTCAGAGGGGCAGGGGCAGAATATATTCTGGATACACCATCGCGCTGCATACAGAGATATGCAGAACAGCTCCAGCTCCCACTGGAAGGGCAGGTCACCCGGGAGCTGGGTATAGATCTGGCTGCTTGGGTTGGAACCCTGGCTCCTCTGCCACTTGCCTTGGGCAAGTCATTTAACCTCTCTCCGCCTCAGTCTTCACCATCAGAAGAGTGGGTATAGTAATCCTTTCCGTCATAGAAGGTGGTAATAAGTAAATAAGATCATTATAAAATGTTGAGCCCAGTCCTTGGCACAAGGAAGAAGCTGCCTGTTCAATGTGGACTCTTATCATAATAATCGTTATTTTTCATCGTGGCAAAATGTTCTACATAATAAAAGCGTAATATGCAAATCGACTGAACTGCTGAACTACCAGTCGGCAGGGGGCGGGGCTGGTGAGCAGGTGGCCCCAGGACAGCCAAGGCGTGTGCCAGTGGGCAGAGGGAGGGAATGGTGATGGGGGGGTGGGGCGGTGGTGACCAGCAGCGGCGACCAGCGGAGGCAGAGGGCAAGGTGGGCGGGCGGGCGGTTCCCTGATCGGCCCACTCGGTCGCCTCCTGCAGAAGAGTGGTCCTAAACCGTCAGTAGGACATCCCCTGAGGACTCCCGGACTGTGAGAGGGCGCAGGCCGGGCTGAGGGACCCGCCCTCCCGCCCCAGTGCACGAATTTTTGTGCACCGGGCCTCTAGTACATAAATTTCCTTCGTTCAGTGTACATCTCAGTAGCGTTAGGCGCATTCACATTGTTGAGCAATGGATCCCCAGACCTTAGAACTTGACTGCGTAAAACTGAAACCGTACCCATTAAACATCGCTCCCTTATTCCACCCCGACCCGGGTGCCCTCGCTCTGCGTTCCCCTCTGTGGCTGTGGCTGCTCCCACAGCTCATGTAAGTGGGACCATCTGGTGTTTGTCTTGTGACTGTAACTATTTGCAGTCTTGGCCCACCCTGGAAGTTGCTTGCTCTCTCCTTTTTGGCTTCCTGTAAGCTTGTAATTGCCTGCTTAAACCGAGTCTTAATGAATTATTTCCCTTAAAGGAACAGGACCCTCGAAGCGCCATTTCATCCCTTTGAGGAGGACACAGGGAAAGTGAAGGAGGCGTGGGGGCGGGCAGGGTGGAGCTTGGCGGCCCCCTTCCCCCCCATTCTGTGAAAATGCAAATGTGACAGCAGGGGAGAGAAGCCTGTATGAGTCTGGGTGCCTGCTGCCCCAGGTCAACAGGCTCTATGTTTTTCTGGCCCATTTTTTTTATTTTTTATTTTTTTAACACATTTTGTACCACATAGAAATCTCTAAGACATACGCCAGGGACCGCACGTTTTTGGGCAAACTGCACGTTATTTAAATCATCATAACTACAGATCATAATGCACTTTAGGTGTTGTTTTTCAATAATTATAATATTTTTATTTACAAAAACAATTAAACTATTAAACAATTAAAGTTCCTAGTACTTTTTTAATGTATGGTACTGCGTAAAACATTTCTAAAAGCACCAGGAACTTGAAGACGAAGACTATTCGAATGACCAAAATACAATGTAGCTGCAATGCTTTATGGGTTCGTGCAATTATATAGTTTTTCATAGATTGACCTGCACGGTTTCCACCAATGAGATCGCTTCATTCCATGTGGACAAGACAGTGTGTTGACATCTAAGGTCCATAACAGATGGCGCATGAAAAACGAGAAAACTCGTGAGCGGTCCTTAACAGATGGCACGCGAAACACGAGAAAGCTTGTGAGCGGTACGAAAGGTGTTAAAAACATATTTTTATTGATTCTCCACAGAGAGGAAGGGAGAGGGATAGAGAGTTAGAAACATCGATGAGAGAGAAACATCGATCAGCTGCCTCCTACACACCCCCTACTGAGGATGTGCCTGAAACCAAGGTACATGCCCTTGACTGGAATCGAACCTGGGACCCTTCAGTCCGCAGGCCGACGCTCCATCCACTGAGCCAAACTGGTCAGGGCTTCTGGCCCATTTTAAACAACGCCTGTAGGTTCGACTTCGTTTGGGATTGGCTTCCCCCAAGTTGCTGTGGGTATTGGTGATGTTCCAGTCCCAGGTCACTCGGCTCCACGGGCCTGAGCTCACTGTGAGGGTGAAGGGGGCTGTGGACTAGAGCAGAAGGGACCGCAGAGACGGGATCACAGCCACAGCCTTGGCTGTGCTGTGGGTGCGGATTCTGTTGCTATAGAGATGGGGGTGGGGGCTGAGCGATGTCCCCTGGGCGCCCATCAGCCCCTCCATGACCAGGAGCGTCTGGCCCATCAGCCTGCCACCCCTGGGCTTGCTTTCCACTCGGCTGCCTGCTTTGTGTCTACATCAGAGCACTGGCCGGGGGGAAGGACTGGTGGACACTTGCATTGGCTTTGGGAAAAGCCATGTGGAGGGGAGGCAGAAACGACTGCGCCCCCTCCCACCCCCTCACTGCGACCGGACCCCAGACTTCCTCCCAAAGCCCTGCCTGCGGAGGACGTGCGCCCCTCGCTCCGTGAGCACCTCGCTTCGTGCTCCCCTCACTCCGTGCTCCTCTCCCCTCCAGTCCTCCGTCTGTGCGAAGATCGTGCAGCTGCTGGGGCAGAACGAGGTGGACCACCACCACCAGCAGGTGGTCATCCTGAGCCAGGACAGCTTCTACCGTGTCCTCACCCCCGAGCAGAAGGCCAAGGCCCTGAAGGGCCAGTTCAACTTCGATCACCCGGGTGAGTTGGGGAGTGAAGGGGTGAAGCTAGGATGGCGGGAGGGCCTGACTTCCCTGCTTCCCGTCGGAGACGGAGGCTGCTGGGTGCCTTGCAGGGTTCTGGGGGCTTCTCAGCCTGCAGTGCGTGGCTCCCCAATTCTGGCGGCATCTGTCCTGAACGAGAGCCATTCTGTGGGGGTGAGCCAGACTCAGGAGACACCTGCACATTGTCCTGTGTCCTTGCCTCACTGTCCTCAGCACCCGCACTGCGCGGACACGCCTGGGGGTGAAGCTGTCACCTGATTGGCAGGAGGAAGATGGGGGGGCCAGGGGGGCTGCCTGAACAGCTTTTGCCTGTTTTTTCTGGCTCATTTTAAACAAAGCCTGTAGGTTCGACTTCATTTGGGGTTGGCTTCCCTGAAGCTCAGGTTAGCACACTGCCCCTTCGGCGGGGGGTTCTTAGTGAGAATTGGAGCTGTGGGCACGATGCCTGCCGCTCCCCCGGTCCTGGGGGCATTCCTGGCCCCGGGAGCTCTCCGGGCTGACACATGCCCGCTCCCCGGCAGCCACGCAGAGGGAAAACCCTCTTCTCAGAGCTCAGTCTCGTGCTGAGACGTGGAGCTCGCGGGTTTGTAGGGCTGCCCTGTGCACGGGACAGGAGAAGTCACTTAAAAAGGAAGGACATTAACCGCTGGTCTCCTTCAGATGCCTTTGACAATGAGCTCATCTTCAAAACTCTCAAAGAGATCATCGAGGGGAAAACCGTGCAGATCCCCGTGTACGACTTTGTCACCCATTCCCGGTGAGTGAGCTGCCCGGGGTGTCCTCTGTGCCTGGGGTCCCGGCCCTGTCCTCCCTGCTGTGCCCACGGCGCCCTGGCGGGGAGGGCGGTGACAGCAGCCTGCGCACCCCGATGAGCAGGTCGGGGTGTCACCGGCGCTTCTTGGAGCAGCTGGAACACGTCCGTTACCAAAGGGGATGGTCCCTGAGGAGTCGCTGGAGCTGTCTTCTGGCCCTCCCTCCCTCAGGCCCTCCCTCCCTCCCTCCGTCCTTCCCAGGTCTGGGGAAGGGCGGGTTGTTGGAGGAAACTGAGAGCCAGGCCTCTGAAAGCCTCGGGGATGCAGGCCGTGCGCGTTCCTGCAGCCCCACCTGCTCCTGTCCGCTCCCTTCTCCGTCCACATCAGGTGTCTCTGCCTGAGTGGAAGCTCAGGTCGGTCAGAGGAGCCCTTTGTCCCGCTGTCACCGCCTTTGCTGGGTCTCTGCTGAGTCTGAGGGAGGGCGGCGGGCTCCCCCCGAGGCTCTAGCTCGTCCCTGGGAGTCCCGCCCCGGCCCGGCGCTCAGCCCGGCGCTCTGTGTGCAGGAAGGAGGAGACGGTGACCGTCTACCGCGCGGACGTGGTGCTCTTCGAAGGCATCCTGGCCTTCTACTCCCAGGAGGTGCGCGACCTGTTCCAGATGAAGCTCTTCGTGGACACGGACGCGGACACCCGGCTCTCCCGCAGAGGTGCGTGCGCGGCCTCCTGCCCCCGGGCCCAGGCTCCTGCTGCCCCAACGTTGGGTGACATCTGAGAAGGGACTAGTCCCTGGGTAGCGAAAGCTTGTGAGCTCAGGGAGATGAGCGAGGAGATTTATTCCGGTTTCTCTGGAGAAGCGTCTGGTCAAGAGCTCTGTTCCTTGTGAGGTTCCCACGGCACCTCGGTCCAGACGGAGCTGGGCAGGGACCCTGCCGGCAGCGCCGGTGCCTCCTCCACAGCCTGCTTCTCTAGCCCCTTGGTTTCCAGAAAGCTCTCTAGGTCCCGTCACTGTCCAGCGGCTTCAGACAAAGCCGGTTGTCCCCGCTGCGGGCCTTACTGAGTGTGGCCTGTGACCTGTGATCACAGCTCTCGTGGTCTGGGAGCTGAGCCCACAGTCAGCTCTGGGGCATTGGGCAGAGAGCGCAGGAGGCTGCGTGGAGGAGGGGCTGGGGCGGGGGCCACCCACAGAGGCACACGCACATGCGTGAAGACTGCACAGGCTGTTGGAGGGCTGTGTCACTGATCCGGGCGACAGGCACGCTGTCATCGTCACAGGGGAGCTGGGGAGAGATGAGAGGGCCTGCGGAGGCAGTGCCGTGGGGGCGAGGAGGGAATGAAGGTTGACTCAGGCCTCGTGGAGACAGGAAATGACAAGGTGAGCCCTCGGCACCGAGCAGCCAGCAGCAGTCGGATCTGCTGAGTGCCAGCCCAGGGCCTCTGACCTCGGCATCTGGGAAGTGTGCCCGGTTGTGAAACATTTGCAGCTGATTCATTTCTGAGGTCTTACTGCAAGAGCTGTGCGCGGACCCAGCCACGTGTGGAGCAGCGAGTCCAGGGTTCTGCCGCCCGAGTGGTAGCGGGATCCGCACTGCTGGCTGGGGGCGCGTGGGGGGAGCAGAGCTCTGTGACGGAAAAGGCAGGGCTCCAGCTGGTTTGGAGATGTTGGTGGATCTCTCTGGGTAATCGGGAGACATCTGGGTTTTAGGGCTGAGCCTGGCCAGGTAGGAGTCCTGACAGCTGTGCCCGAGCCTGACTTCCTCATGCACCTGCCTCAGGGCCTGGCTGATCCTTAAGTCACACCCAGCCGCCTGGGATCTGCCTGGAGGTCTGCCAGGGCCACGGGAGCTCGCACCTCAGGGAGGCAGTGGAGGCACGAGGAACCATGTGGACTGAGCCGAGTCCTGGTTTCCCCTTTCAGTCGCTGGGTGCCCTCAGGCACACTGTGCTTTCACCTCTTCAGACCTCCTTTTCCTATCAATCACCTGAAGGTGGGTCCTCCTGGGCTGCTTGTGACGTTGGAGGTGATGCAGGTGATGTGAGCGCGGGGCATCAATCAATCAGTGTCAGTGTGGAGACCAGAAATCCGCTTTGCCTGAGGTGGGAGGCGTCCTTCTGTGGGGACTGGCCTCAGGAGTTGGTGAGATCAGGCGAGAGTGTAAGGAGGCGGTGGAGATCGAACAGGAAGTCCCTCGTTTGTCCTGACCATTCTGTGGAGTCGGGGGAGGTGGGGAGGCGGCCCCTGGGGTTTTGAGGGCTTAGCTCTGCAGCCCCACCTTCCCTGTCTCCCCGGGAAGGTGCTGCGTCTCTTGAGGGCCTGTCCTCTCGTGCGCCCACTGGTGAGTCACTTCCCTGGTGCACTTGTGGGACTTTCCCGGTGTGCTGTTTCTCAGATCCTTTTTCTGTGCACGTGGGACGGAGGGCAGCCTGGGACAGAGGGCAGCCTGGGACCGAGGGCGGCCCGGCAGGGGCTCTGTGGGGGCAGGGCTGCCCGGAAGGGGCAGACAGGAGCAGCTGCGGGGCATGGGACATTCCTGCAGCCTGAGTGAGGCCGTGGCTTATCTGCTCTGCGTCATGCAATCCGAGGGGCCTCCTTCCCCCGACCTCT